ACTTGGGTTTCATGGCTAGATCACTGAGATTGAGGGCAGGGATCTCTTGGGACGGACCCCTCGCCAGACGCTGATAGTTAGTTCTAGGTGCACTTTTTGCAAAGAAAAGTGATCCTGCCCGTAGTAGTTGAATTCGTCGAACGAGTTGAATTACCGGCAGGATCACTTTCCGACTTCGTAAGTCGCGAGGGAAGGGATTGCTGTACCCTTCTCGCGATAAAAATACCTCAGGCAGGAACCGCAGGAGGAGGGGGTCCAGCGCCCCCCTCCTGTGTGACCCCTGTTGGGTCGTCTAGCTAGTAGAGGTGGAGGATGATAGGGGCCAGAGGGGCAGACGACAGAGTCCAATGATGGGAGAAAAACAACAAACAAAAAACAAACTTTTATATTATTACCCGAACGAGTTCAAGTACCGCCAGGATCACTTTTCTTGGCAAAAAGTGCACCTAGAACTATCAGCGTCTGGCGAGGGGTCCGTCCCCGGAGATCCCTACTTTCAATCCCAATGACTAAGCCATGAAGAAACCCAAGTGATCCTGCCGGGTGCAATTGAGCTCTGAGCATATCTTTTATTGGGTTAAGTTCCACCATTAGACAAGTCAGCGCTGACTATTAATAGTCCAATGGTGTAACTTTATCTAATAGGTACCACTTTTTTTTTTTTGATGCATTTGTTGTACGTGTACAGATCTCTTTCAAATCGAATTCGATTTCAAAGTTGTTTTTTGCTCTACATTATTTGCGCATCTTAGGAGAAGGATCGTGCGTGTACATTCATACTTTTTTTTTCAAGCCATGTGTTCTCCTACATTCAGATCTCTACGAAGCACGGCAGCATCACGTCTCTGCAGGTTGGTTCTGCTGCAGAACACCTGCACCACACCCCGATCAGGGCTAGCATCGACCGTTGCCGATTAGACTACCCCCAAAACCGGTTTGGAAAACAAAAATTGGAACTTCAGGGACAGCAGAGTCTCCCAATATAAGTAATTCTCTCCCATTACTGCTACGCGCTTACGTACTGCTGCCAGGCACTCCACGGCTTTTGTGGCGCCCACAAGGTTCGCACGACCCCCCGAAAAATGACACATGTCCAGCCTCCATAGCTGGAGGTACTTGTATCCCCTCATCCCCACCTTCGCATTTGGCATGGACGCCCCCGTCCCCACCAAACCGCCCCTACTCTCTACCCCAGCCACCGGCTGCTACCGCTGTACCCTATTCACAAGGCGTCTCCAAATTCCAACGGGACACAACAGCAGTTGCTCGCCGAATAGGCGCTCGCTGACATAGCAACGGATTGTCTAAGCTTGGAACACGAACCCTAGATCTACGAATATGCCTGTGCGTAAACCAAGCCTTTACATCTTCCGATCGTCACAACTCTCCGCAGCGATGCAAGATGGCTGCCAATGATCACCAAGAGGTTCGCATTGAATCGCCGTTACATCGCGCAGGATTAACACCACGTCTTCAAACACTGCCCTGGCACCCCATAGGTTGGGTAGCTGTTCGACGGAGAGGAACCGCCAAATCAGCCTTCGACCCCGTCGTTATGTCCAGCGCTCGGTTGGATAATCACCTGTAATGCAAAGCGAGAACACGCCATGGGCTATGCGATTCAGCATTTTCATCAGAGGCCCAAAGGCAAAAGTGAACATACCCAAGCGTCGAACTTCTCTCCGGCCCCTTGTGGTGTCATGGTCGGACCGAGGACAGTGGGAACAAGTATGTCCGGCCGTTGTGCCATCGATATGCGTCGTAAACAAATGCAGAAACTCAACAAACACTCGAGTAGCACAATGTCTCTCCCAGCAGCACACATGCAAGTGTATCCCTTATTCGATAAAGTTACACCATTAGACTAGTCAGCGCTGACTAGTCTAATGGTGTAACTTTATCGAATAAAAGATATGCTCAGAGCTCATTTGCACCCGGCTGGATCACTTGGGTCTGTATGGCTTGGATCTCCGGGGACGGACCCCTCGCCTAACGCTGATAGTTCTAGGTGCACTTGTTTTCCATAGTAAAGTAATCCAGCCGCGCCGGCTGACTAGTCTACCCGCACGAGTTCAAACACCGGCTGGATCACTTTACTTTGGAAAACAAGTGCACCTAGAACTATCAGCGTTTGGCGAGGGGTCCGTCCCCGGAGATCCAAGCCATACAGACCCAAGTGATCCAGCCGGGTGCAAATGAGCTCTGAGCATATCTTTTATTCGATAAAGTTACACCATTAGACTAGTCAGCGCTGACTAGACTAATGGTGTAACTTTATCGAATATCCCTCAACAATATCACGCTCATCCGTAGACAGACGTGTTTCGCAATCTGGACCGCATGAACCCCCCTGTGGCTGTTCTATGCATACGTCCCACCTAAAGAATAACCGGCTTGTCAAGCGAGGCTCGAGTCGCGACCGGCTTCACGCCAGCGCCGCGGCGCCGTTAGGATGCTGAGCGAGACTCCCTGATGCAGGGCTGGACCAAGGAGAGGAAAGGGGCACGAAGAGCATACAGGAGGGAAAACGTCAGCAACTGCATTGACCCTCCTCAACGATGTACCACGTATTTGCTACCGTAAAAGCCTGCACCCTGTGTCCGCCTCAACGAGCGTTACCGATAATAGACTAGACTAAACCTTGAAACTACTGCTGCACGAGTACGAAATACACTCGCGCAATGTACATATAACCGCGGTACGCAGGAGGTAAGAAGAAACAACCTGCTAGACTACGTACTGCTGAAGGTTGCGGTTGAACGTTTTCAAGAAAGGAAGAACCACGACAAGGTTGCCGATGTGCACCAAGGAGACCTTTGCAGATTTCCAGTTCCTCGGAGGGGACTGCGTGGATACAGTTGCAACAAAAGAAAGGATTCGGGGTTGGACGTGGGGAGAAGCGGCCTTTGACCCCTAGCCACAGCTTGATAAATGTAGCGATGCAGCTTCCGGACGGATTTCGTCTTTGGAGGTCCCCCTCCGCTAGCTAGATTGCGCTTTGTATTTAGTCTAATTGTTTCCATGTTTTTGAGGGTTGGTTTGAGAGTGGTTTTTGGGGCAGATCAATCAGGCGGCTGCCCTGAATAGCCACATGTATGACGATTTATGCATACTGCGTGGCATTGGTGCCCCTTCAGAGGATTATTAGCGTTAGGTTGCCTCTAGATGCGTGCAGTGTAGACGATGCGACAGCATCCGTGGGAGCATAGACTAGGCGTTGATCGAGCGGATCGACGGCTGCGATGAGCAGCACCCCGGCACGGAAACATGCGCGGATTCTCAACGTTTGAAACAGCGACCGAAGATGAGGATAAATACAATAGATCGGGTGGATTCTCATTTGGGAACAGTAACCTACTGTAAGGTGCTTGCAGACGGTTTTTAATCACTTTTTCAGAGGTAGACTAGAGATATCGGGACGAAAGCTTAGGATTCAATTGGCGTGGGCATGAACTCTATCTTTTGTGCCGTCTTCGCAGCACTATTATTAGCTGGCAAAAAGGGTATGATACACAGCTCATCACATGGCTGCGGCAAGGTGCTTTAGCTCGCCCAAGCTCTTACGAGCGGGCCGGCACTGTCGACGGTCATCGACTCTATCTGCTACACTGCTGTAAAGTTGCTTCTGTGATGAAATGCTTGCGAGAATAGACCGATTGACTGCGTTACAACGTTTTTTTGCAGGACAGCACCCGACCTACCTGTTGATCTGTCAATAAAGAAACGTTCGGTATCCGTCATGTACGCACATTACAGCAGTACAGCAGCAGCCGTCACATCAACGGGGTGCCAAGCAGCGTACAGAGAGGCGCGCACACGATACACCCCACGAAGGATGAGCGCTGCAACTCACTGCTACTGCTGAACACCTGCTTTGTAGCACCCACATATTCACCTGCAAAATTCGAAACGAGGTGACCGCTCCTACCTATGCCTCTCCTCCTAGCTTTACCGCTACCAGTGCTCAGCAACGTGTGTTACACAGCCAGCCGTCGCCACGACACCCTTTTCCCCATGTCCGTTGCTTCGTGGTCGGTCATCATGATGATGCCAAAAACACAACCGGCGCTCTGGTTGATGATGAGGTCGTTTGCTTCAAGCAGGAGGTTCACGCCGCCGCCGTAGCAGCCCAGCCTCAGGTGGCTTCATGCGGGGCGTTGCTTGGTATATCACCACGTCACGGCGTCTGTCCACGGGGCATACGCCAGCAAGCACGTGATGTGCGTGTGCAGCTGTGTGTGTGTTTTCATTGTTAGCATCGACCGCGCTAACCGACTGACCAATGAAAAGACGTGAGTCTCAGTGAGGTTGAAGACACTAAACACTTTTATCTGCCATGAACTGGGACCCCGTGAGGGGGCAGCATGGGGGAGGCCAAACTATCCTTCGGATCAAATACAGAAACAACAGCAACAGAGGAAAACTGCACGCATCTACCAAGGCTATTTATTATCTTGTACTCGAGTTCGTTTAGGAGTACTTCCACAATTATCCTCCTTGTTCTCGCTACCATCATTCTGATCCTCATTCTGATCCTCATTCTGACCAGAATCTCTGGGCAGTTCTTCCCTAGCCCTACGTTTTTTGTTTTGGTGTGTGTGCTGCCGGCGCGCGCGTCGGTTCTCAGCACAACGCAGTGCGCGCGCCGTCGATGCAACTCATCCTGTACTAATTCCAAGTGCCGCATTTAAAACCGCATTCAAACTTCCGATCAGATTCGTGCAAGTGGGGTGGTTTCGCCCACTCAGCGGTGTAGCATAAAAAAACGTATCCCTACCCATCAGCTTCTTCCCCTCGCTGCCGCAGCAAGGTTGTGCTTCGGCATGACCCATAGCGAGGGGGGGGGTCTTTCAAGTGAGCAGGGCGAGAGTCACCCTCAAGGGACCAATACCTTCTTGCTACGCCGCACCCGCCGCGAGGCGTGCGTAGTGGTGGAGTTGGGTCGGCACTGGTGCGTCAGGTACAAGGATGCAGATAGATGCGCGGACCTCCAGGCCGTCGGTGTAGGCAGCAATGCCCATCTCAACTTTGTGCGCGGAGGCAGACGCCATCAGAAAGGTGGGCGGGCACAATGTACACGACCCTAAGTTTGCTAGAGGGAGTTGTACTGTTTCAGTAACCTGGTTTTGCCATCAAAGGAGGAGGGGACAGGTGGTGACGAGCTGATCGGGCTGGTTGACCCTTCGGCGGGAGAATTTTCAGACCAAGAACCCTAGAGTGCAATGAGGGAGAAAGCGAGGAGCCGACTGGGAAGGACAGCAACGAGAGCATGCACGAAGCGAAGCGGGTCGAGTTTGGTCGTGCTAGGACTGGTCTCAGCGGCACCGGAGAAGCGGCACCGGAGCAGCGGCACGGGATCACCGGAACCGGAGCATGCGGACGGCATCGAACCGTGGCGCACGGACAAACATCCCTTGGTTGTATTGTCAATTATTTTTCGTTTTTTTCCCTGAAAATAGGTGTTGTTGGGTGTGTACGATGACGTCACTGGTTTTGTAGAGAGCGCGGCAGAGATGACGCCGATAACTTGGGTGCCTTAGATGTGTATGTGCATCGCGGAAGACCCCTTCAATGTGGAACGATTCCTAGTCAGTCGATGTTTGCACTGCTGTGTCTAACACAGATGATCTGGATAGATTCGGGCGATTGTCAATTGCGATGATGGTGGCTTGGTTGGTTGTTCTTCTTCATCGTATGTCCACGGATTCATTCTGACAGCACTCACTTCAGACAGCAGGTGCATGCCCCGAGCTTGTGTACCATGCACCATGGTGTTATTTTTGTACAGACACAGCAGTACGCTGTAGTCGACAAACATTCATTTTGGGTAAGTGCGGGACAAGGGGGGTGATGCTGCTGGAGTTGAATTGCAGTGTGTGGGCGTGTAGTTCAGGTGTGAGCACGCAATGGTACTGCAGGGATTGTAGGTGTACCTCGTCGGGCTTGTGTACCCTTTTCTTGCTAGTAGTGCGCGTGTTCTTTAGATTTTCGTATTATGGCTCTAGCATTGTTGTGACCACGGGCCGAGTCTTTGCTAGATTTTGGGAGTAGCAACTGACACGAGTTTATGTGAAGAAAACAACAACAACAATGGTCCCTGTTACACACCACACTGACTCGGTGCTGGGCCAAAGTTGATCGAGACGACCGGCGGCGTGAACGGGGGGGGTGTCGGCGCAGCGGTGATACCAGCGGAACCCCCCTCACCGGCTGGCGCCGACGTCACCCACGACACGTTGTCGGTGTCGACGACGCGGCCGGTGGACGCCTTGAGNCCCCTCGCCGGCTGGCGCCGACGTCACCCACGACACGTTGTTGGTGTCGACGACGCGGCCGGTGGACGCCTTGAGGACCTTGACGGTGCCGCTCGGGTGGTTGTCGCCGCCGTTCAGGTAGTAGCAGAGGGTGGCCTGGCCCTCGAGCTTGGTGCGGCGATCCTCACACATGAGGCCGGACTGGAAGAACGGCAGCATGCGGAAAGGCCCCTGCTCGCCGGTGAACATCTCGTGCGGCGAGCGCCGCCCGGGATTGGCCTTGGTCGCCGACTGGTTGAGAGCGTCGGCGGCCCATTTCGCCGATTCCATCCAAAGACGGTCACCGCGCTCGTCGAGGCCGGGGATGGAGACAAAGTCGACGATATCACGGTATCTGCGCGAGGGCGTAGCCTTCCGGGGGTTGTGCAGTCACGCGCAATCGGTAGACTCCCACAACAACATAAACCATGGAGGGAATCGACCTCTCCGCCCTTAGCGGGGAACAACTACAGCAAAAAGTGGAGGAGATCGTCCAGCAACGAGTACAAGCCGAAGTTGAAGCTAACATGATCAACGAGGGTGAAGTCACCTACGCACAACCACCATCAGCCGGCAACCCAGTCCCACCTACCGGTAACCAGCCATCACCCTTCAGCCAGGGTAAAACAGCTACCTTCAACGACCCCAGCAGCGTCGCACACATCGTGGCGCACGCGGCCAAGGCGACAGCTGAGGCAATCGCTGAACAACAGGGCTTTGCCCGCTCAGGCACGTTACGTGTCAATCCTGGCTCAGAAATAGAACCTTGGCTTGGTAGCGTGAAGAATGAGCAGGATTTGTATATATTGTTTGATATTTTTCGGAGTAAGATGATTTCATATTTTCAGGAGGAGGGTGTGCATGATGCGTTGGAACTGGAGGTCGAGGTCAAGGTCGGAAAAAGGTGTGTGGATATACTAGAAGTAGGAGACCTCCGGAGAATTTTTGGGAATGAACTAGTAGACAAGTCATTCAAACTGTGGAATATCCTCGTTCGCAAGGTTTTGTATCCCCCGATTCAGAGCTTGATTCTGGCGTGTGAGAGTCCCCAAAAGGGCTGGAAAATCGTGACAGAATTCTATCAGCAGAAAAGGCAGTCAGAAAAGTCGAGGTTGGAGCAGGACTGGAAGGAGTTGGAGATGAGAGAGTCCGAGAGTCCACAGGATTACATTGCCCGCTCAGAGGCCCTTCGCCTGCGTCTAGCATCTGTAGGCGCAATTTAGGATGAAACAGATGCCAACAACGACATTGCTCGTGGCCTTCCCTCTTCGTTGTATGCCGTGCAAAGAGGAATAATACTGCTTGCCCATGATGTCCTGACGTTGCCTCCCCTTGAGACTGTGGTGAGGGACGCCCACATGGAGATGGAGCACGAGAGGAGCAAGGGGGAGGGGCGCGAGGTGGAGATCACTCTCGCCGCGTCCGGCATGGGCCGG